TTCCGTACCCACTGTATATATATATATATATATATATATATATATATATATATAATATTTAGTATGTATGTGTGTGTGTATAGAACTTTTTAAAATATTTTATTATATATTTTTTATGTTTATTATTATTACCTCTAAGACACAAATATATTACTATTATAATAAAAAAAAAAATATATATATATATTTTTTATAATTAAGTATAATAATTATTTACTATTTAAATAAGTGTTAATTTACTTTATGCTATAGTAGAGTACTTATGCCTACATTTCTTCACTTGCAAGAGTTAAACCCTCAAGCTTTTATTTTGGCACAAAACTGCAGGAAGACCTTTAAGTTTAGGTGACAACAAGTTTACAAATGCTACTCACTACAAATCTAGTAAAATGCTATTAACTTCTGTCCACAAAAAAGGCTGGAAATTGTGCGAATGTGGAAAATAAAGCATTGCACACATTGCATTCCCAAGTGTGTTAAACGCATCCTCATGTTGTTTCAATGCTCTAGAACGTTCTTTCTTCTTTATAAGCAGAGAATTAAAAAAAATGTTTCGTTGTTTGTTTTTTTTAAGGTAAATGTGGTGCATGAGTAGATGACAAAATGTTCATTTTTGGGTGAAGTATCCCTTTAGGAACAAAGAATAGTATGTAACTTATCTGTAGTAATTGTGAGAATTTGTTTCTGTAAACAATACAATACAAGAGATTGTGAGAGTCAAGTTTCTGTTTTGCTGTCTCCATCATAGATTAATAATTACCCTGAGGCATACAGACATCATATTGGATTACAGACTTAATGTAAAACTTAATTAGCATGATGATTTGAGGTTTTCCATCATTAATATAAGAGTATTGTTAGAAGGCATGTGTGTTTGTTTGGGTTTCTGTCGCTGTGTGTGTGTGAATCTGTCTCTTTTCATTTGTGTGGGTTCTTGTCTCCGGAAGTTCAGTAGACAGTTGATTCTAATTGTCTAGCTTCATCATGAGAGTGGGTGTGTTGTATATTAATAAAGGATTTAAGGAGTTATTAAGAATAGTTTGTGCTCTCTGTGATCATCTCAGACTAAGAAAGGAATCGCAGGATTAAAGAGACATTGGAAAGGGGATGTGGAGTCGCAGTCGGTGAGAAAATGAGTTTAATAGACAGGCTTTGTTTGGAATGTTAGTTAAAAGATCCTGTCTTTTGTTTTATTTCTTTCTGCTGAGCTCGGTTGGATTCAGAGGCGTTAGGAATCAAATGCTAGTGTATAGCTATCAGTACATACTATATGCACCTTTGTCAGAGGAAATGTCATGTTTAATCTGATGCTAATGAAAATTAGGCTGTAGTAAATAGTATGTGTGATTATGTATGTTGTACAGTTTTAATATTTTTACATGCACACACGCATTATTTTATGCAGTGCACATCATACTGTGTATTTCATTTAAAAAACATAGTTATTTTGCTTCTTTATTTAACATCTGGCAGTATGATTAAATGTCAAGTAACAATTTTTAAGAAATTCACTTTTTTTTTTGTCATATGGAAATGACAGGTGAAGTCTAGCGCATTGCATTTCACACAGTGTACTCTGCTTTTAAACTGCATATTTTGTCAAACTTAGTAGGTCATTTCAGCGTGTGACAGTATATGATATATAGCCAATGATAGGGAAACAATGAAGTAAAGGCAGACCCAGGAGCAGCAGTCAGGCCTCTCCGTCTCCTCACTGGGGTTCATAATGACAGTGACTAATTCTCTTTCTCCCCATGTGTAAGTGCACGAGTGGGTGTATTTATGTCATTATGTCCTCCGTTTTCCCTCTGAGATTTGAAGAGGTGCAAAATAACAGATGGATGTTGCATAAAGACTTTAGATAAAGGAGAGGAGAGACAAGACGAGAGGAGAACCCAGATGTTTATACAGTTCAGGAATGAAAATCAATGCATGTTAAATTTAGTGGCGCTTTCCACAAGTAAGGTACAAAATAGAGCCTGCAACTCTTGAATTGCAATTACCTGTAAGTCTGAAGTATTTTTTGTTTCTTTGTTAACAAATTGTCAGTGAAAGAAGGTGAAAGCCTAACATTTCCCTGTCTGCCTGTGCTGGCAGATGCTGTAGCCTATAATACACCATCTGGCTGCACAAAGCATGTCTGTTGACAACTGTTCAAAATTTGCGTAACAGTTTTAAATAAGATTAAATTTATTAACATGATTTACTTGTTCATTAAATATAGCTACATGCTTTGTTTTTAGCATTAGCATTTAGCATTGTGCTATGCCAGCTGTTGATTTGAACTGAAATGAAGATAAGATTAAGTGACGTGACGTGGTAGTACTCGGAATTAGTGCTCTGCATTTAACCCATCCAAAGTGCACACACACAGCAGTGAACACACACACCCCCGGAGCAGTGGGCAGCCATTTTTGTTGCGGCGCCCGGGGAGCATTTGGGGTTCGGTGCCTTGCTCAAGGGCACCTCAGTCGTGGTATTGAAGGTGGGAGAGAGTGCTGTACATTCCCCCCCCCCCCCTACAACCCCTGCCGGTACCTTTGGGTTACGAGTCCAACTCTCTAACCATTAGGCCACGACTTCCCCCTTGAAGGCACAATATATATATATGATTTTTTTATTAAAATATCCAAAAACCACTAGAACAGTGTTATATATTTTGCTGACTTGTGTACTTACAGTATCCCAAATGTTTCGAAGAATGTTTAAATCCAGAGAAATAAGCAGTTTTAACTAGTTACATCGAGTGTGTCCATAGTATCATTGTGTCACCTGCCAATGACGTCATAACCCCTCGATTTTTTGGAAACGCCAAAGACGCTTTAATATGTTGTGCGTTTTAATAGACCGGTGACGACCGCACAGAGTAGCATTATAACAGAACTTTCAAATGTATCTAGTATGATAAAACAGCACTGCTTTTTTCCCCCACATACGCACGACCGGAAGGAGCAGAAGCGGTCGACTGTGGCATAATAAAAGCTCCGCTGCTTTCGAGTCGTGTGTCGCGCTCGTTCAGCGGCCTTGTTTCGCTTCGACGGCTTTCAGCCTCACCCTGCTTCATTCTACTACGTTAAGAAATCATTAGCTCATCCTTGAACATGATTTCTGTCCGAGTCCCGTCTTGGTGCGTCGGCTGTGGGGATGAAGACGACAACTCCCATGATTCCACACTCAGTCACGGCGTCATCAAACTACGCCTTTGTCTATTTGTTTATTTTGAATACGCGCCCTCTAGCGGCGAAAATTACATATTGTGCCTTTAATTGGTTCTGGGGCACAACTAAATTAGTTAAAACAACTTTTTTGAATAATTTAAAAAATGTGAGTTTATGCTACAAATATATGGTTTATTATTTGAATAATTTTTAAGAAGTTGTCATAACTCAAAAAGATTGATGTAAAAGGTTTTTTTTTTTTTTGACCCAAGACATTATTATTATTTTTTTTTTTTAGAGTTTTCACAGCAAAAATCATGGGATCTGGGCCTCCAGTGCTTTAAAAAAAATTCTAATTTCTACACTAAAGTGTACCGTATACATGGAAAGTGCCAGTAAAAACCTCATTACTCCTCAGCAGTGACAGCAGACGCCTTTTTGGCGGTGTCATGCCAGTTGTGCTGTGGGGAAACCCTTCTCACTCGCTCATTCTCCTTCAGTCTTTCGTTCTGTCTGGCTTTCATTCTCTTGTTCCCATTGTTATTATTCGTCTTTCCCTTGTCTTCATCAACGATTGCATGACTCTTAAAGTCTCCGAGGAATCCCCCTCCTCTTATACGTCCTCCTCCCACAGATCATTTGGCCTTTTTGGAAGGTAGATTTATCCATTGAATAATTGAGCTTGCCATGTTACTTCCTTAGCTGGCCCTGGACCACAACTTGTGTCCCCTAAAGAGAAAAATAAAAAGGATTGAGAATGAGAGAGACAGTTTGGCCTGAACGGACACACTGACCCAAACCCAACGCCTGATGTCAGCCGTGGGCTTGGGACAGGAAGTGATGCTCATTCCGTACCTCTGAGCAAATCTAGTGGCTTCAGCCTCACACGCAGTGCACCTGCTATGTCATTCCCATGGTAACAGTGGAATGGAGGATTCTAAACATCCCATCCGGCCCCTGCTGACCAGCTGTCGTAAGATGGACGCTGGTGTTCAAGGAATGGTGCTGGCCTGTTATTTTCCGTACAGGACAGAATGAACGCTTTTGTTGTTTAACAGAGGTTAGAGAAAGATTTAGAGTGACCTGCGGTGCGGTCTGCCCTCCCCTAAAGAAGGCATGCTGAGCACTTCAGTGAGGGGAAAAATAAAATTCATTTTCTCTGTAAATGTCTAACATTTGCATAAGATGATGAGAGAGCAATTACGTTGGGCAATAAACCAAAACAAGCAAGTTATACTTTCTATAGAAGTGAAAATGACTCAAAATCTATGGTATAACTATGGTATAATTTATGGACATTAGCTGGTCCAATCTAGACTAACAGGTGGTGGACCTGCTTTTGATTTGGTAGACTTTCATGTTAGGGCTAGTTAGAGGTAGACCACCTGGAATCACAAAAGGCTACCATATTCCAAAAACCAGCTTGTCAATCTACTTATATGGCCTTTTCCAGAAGTAGAAGCCGTGCTAGAAACGAGAACAATTGTGTGAGGAAAAAACAAACAAACAAAAAAAAAACCCCTCAAAACAAGTGAGTTAAAATTTTTATAGAAGTGAAAAGGACTCAAAAACTACTTTAAGGTGGTAGTTAATTGGTTTAACAGATTCTATCTTATTATTTATGGAAATTAGCTGGTCCAATCTGGACTAATACGTGGTGGACCTGCTTTTGATTTGGTAGACTTTCATGCTAAAGCTAGTTAGAGGTAGTAGACCACCTGGAACCAGAAAAGGCTACCATATTCCAAAAACCAGCTGGTCAATCCACTTATATGGCCTTTTCCAGAAGTAGAAGCCGTGCTAGAAATGAGAACAATTGTGTGAGGCAATCAACCCCCCAAAAACAAATGAATTAAACTTTATATGGAAGTGAAAATGGCTCAAAAAAAAATCTATGGTTTAACATAGATTCTAGCTTATTATTTATGGACATTAGCTGGTCTAGTTTGGACTAACAAGTGGTGGACCTGCTTTTGATTTGGTAGACTTTCATGTGAAGACTAGTTAGAGGTAGTAGACCACCTAGAATCAGAAAAGGCTACCATGTTCCAAAAACCAGCTTGTCAATCCACTTATATGGCTTTTTCCAGAAGTAGAAGCCGTGCTAGAAATGAGAACAATTGTGTGAGGCAATCAACCCTTGAAAACAAGTGAATTAAATTTTCTATGGAAGTGAAACGGACTCAAAAACTAGTTTAAAGTGGTAGTTAATTGGCTTCACATAGATTCTAACTTGTTTATGGACATTAGCTTGTCCAATCATGTCTGGGTGATTGATCAACTGGACTACCAGGCGATGGGCCTGCTTTTGATTTTGTAGTCTCATGATAAAGCTAGTAGACCACCTTGGAGCAGACAAAAGTTGGTCCATCCACTTATATGACTTTTTCCAGAAGGAAAAGTCATCCTAGAAAATCACAATTAGAACCTTCTGGTGGTAGATAGTTGTAAATGGTTTCGCTTGTGAAAGCTGGTCATTAAGGTGGTTTATTAGGTTGATCAGCTGGAGTCCTTGTTCTAAAATGATGAAAATTGGAAATAAATAATTTTTTACTTTACCATTGAAAGGTTTGAGGTTAGTTTATATTTTCTGAAGAATGTGTGAGTGGCTTACAAGATGCTAGGGTGTTGGTTGCCTGTGCAATTCCTATGGTGTTCTGGCTGTTTATTTGGGTGTTACAAGATCGTTGTGTATTGAAACATGAGTTGTGCACCAAAATTTAACACTCAGATTACTAATTCCAAGTATGACTGTAAGAGTAATGTTGGTGCTTACTTTAACAAACACCACTAATGAGAGATGTTTAAAAGGAAAATAATGACAGGAAATAGGAGTACAAGTAGTGTGTAGGCCAGGGGGCGTCTGAGGAGAAAGGGAGTGGTATCATCTCAAGAGTGTCATTGTGGCTGCTTTCACACGGCTTTTAGGTTGGCGTCTAGCTGCTTCATGTCTCATTATTCACTTC